TCGAGTCTAGAGCTTTTATAGGTTTCCTTCGTGGTGTGTGCAACGGAATAAACAAAAATATGCAACCCAATTCAAAAAATAAACATGCCATGAAAAAAATGAAATGCGGAAAATAAATTACAAGGATGTATATATATATATATATATATATATATATATATATATATATATATATATAAATGAATTCAGAAAATAAAATGACAAAAATAATAAAAAAAACATAGGAGATCAATTAAAAAACTAAACATATGGCCTAACTCTAGTCTCCAGGTGGAGTCGTCATTCTGTCGCTACCCGATATCGGACGGGACTCCTCGAAAATATCTAAAATTAGATTGAATATTTACAAGTTTATTTATAGAGTTTGGAGTTGCCACCTAGTATTTAAGGAACTAGAAACCTAAAAGTAGCACTGGTTCGGAGATTTCTAAGGTAAGGAGTTGATTACACTTTTAGAAAGATATTTAATCACCTAAAAGCGTCCTTTTCGAAAAAAGATACCATGTATGGTTTAATTCTAAATTATCTCCTAAAATCCATGTCAAGCTATTTTTCTAAATTTTAATCTCCTATTTTCTTTTAGACTAAGTGAATTTTTTAGTTTTGGGCGTGGCATCATATTGAAAAGATCGTCGAGTGACACGTCGATTCAAACATCGGATCCACAAAAAACCTTGACACAACCGGTATGTCGGAGGATGTCTTAATTAAAAGATGATTTTTGGTAACGTCGGTCCCTATCAAATAGGAGACTTCATCGAAAAATTTGAATATTCTTTTTAGTGACGCCGGTCCCTATTAGATAGGAGATTTCGTCGAATTTATTTATTATATGTTTTTTGTGTGGCGTCGGTCCCTACCAAGTAGGAGGCTTCGCCAAAACAATTTTAGGAATTTTTTTATATGACGTCGATCCCTATCAAATAGGAGACTTCGTCAAGATTCCTTTGTTAAATTTTTCTAGCAATACACGGGAATTGGATGAACAGCGCGAAGAACACAAACCAAAAAACCCGAAGAACTCGAATGAGGAACTCAAAATTTCGCAATTGAAAACCCGGAAGTGAGAGCTGTCTGCGTATAGTGAAAATTTACCTCAAGAAAAACCAAAACAAAGAACGAAAAAAGGAAGCTAATTCGAAGAACCAAAACCCGTGGTCTATGAACACAACGAACACAAACCTAGAAAAAACCCGAAACGCGTAGACTGCTAGAAATAAAAAAAATCAACCCTTATGCTTTTGATTTCCACTCTCTCTCAACCCGAAATTTTCTCTAGTTTCTCCCCCTCTTTTTTGTGAAATTCAAAACGTTTTATAACACAAAATTTCCTAAAATTTCTCTTAGAATTGAATCTCAAATCCTGAATTTTTTGTCAAAATTTTTCCTTTTTAATTCATGATTAAGGCAAAATCAAAACGAGAAAATTGCTTGATTTTCTATTGGTTTAATTCCGTTCAATAATGCATAATCAAAATAGGAAATTTGATGGAGGATTTGACAGATTTCTTTAAAGATTTTCCGAGAGAATTAGCATTGGAGCGAACGACGAGTCGTCTTCTCCACTTCGATCCTATCGTTCGCTCCAAACTTCCGAGTTTGATCCTCACGTTTCAATTTCAACAATTACGCTCTTCGATGGTATAATTTCAGCACAATCTCATCAATTAGGTCCACAGGAGGTGTAATTTAAGACCTAATTTTTAATTGATGCGATTACACCCCTAATTACTTTAATTGTGTCCCTAAATGAGATTTTTTTTGTGTTTTTTCATCATTTTCTTTCTTTTCTTTTTTTTTTTTTTTTAGTAAACTTCAAATTAAATAAAAACAAAAATAAAAATAAAAATAAATAAATAAATAACAAAGGTAAATTTTGGGTTATTACATGTGTATTTATTAAATTCTAATTTTTCTATTTATTTGCATGATTGTATTTGTGATTTCATTTTACTTGGTAAATCCATCTACAAGACAATATAAAAAGGACTTTGAGTGTTATTTTGTTCAAAATGAATCTTTGTGTGACTTGTTGTCGCACATTCTAGAAATTAAGTTTTTTGTAGATTCCTTTTGTGATGATTATAAAATCAAAACTTTTATATTTCAAGCCAAAATATTGAAAGCCTTGATGTATTCATTAAAATTCAATTTTAGGCTTGTTTGCATAAGAGTATTAGTGATTTTATTTTACTTGGTAAATCCATCTATAAGGCAATATAAAAAGATTACCGAGTGTCATTTTGCTCAAAATAATTATTTGTGTAAGTTGTTGTCACACATTTTGAAAAATGAGTTCTATGTAGGTTCCTTCCATAATGATTATAAAATTAGAATTTTTATACTTCAAAACAAAACATTCAAATCTTAATGCATTTATTGAAATCTAATTTTTGGATTTGTTTGCATGGGAATAGTAGTGATTTTAGATTGGTAGAAACTCCTTTTAGAAGATTGTTTCCATATATATATATATTATGAATTGTGATAATAGAGTTATGATAGCCTCTTTAAAAGCCATTGACAAGTTGTTTGAAATAATCGCAAAATGCATGGTGCTTGTTAACTAATAAAATCAATATCCTCTTGATGTTCCAAATATATGCATTTGTATGATGATGGTAGTTATTTCGTCAAAATATAGTGGATGGATTATGAGTGAATATGAAACCCAAGAAGCACGGAAGAAATTTAATATCACGAGTTTTGATAGACAAGGTGGTCACCTTAGGTTGTCATGGAATGTGTTTGATTTATTCTAAATTTTTAAGGACTTCTACTAGGTTGACCAAAAGACCATGAGTTTAAGAAATGTTATCACAATTGATGATAGTAAAGGTAATTTACTCGGTTAAATTGATGGCATAGTAAAATATAAAGAGAGCTTAATCGTCCAATTATGAAAGATGAAAGGTAATTGATATTAAACTAAATTATTTTTTGAAATTCATTTGTTTTTTTACATTTTGTTTTAGTATGTTTTGCTAAATTTTTCCCTTTAAGAGATTGAAACAAAAAGATAGATACTAAAGAATATATTACCATATGTTATTCTCAATTTTTTCTAGAGTTTTTGTGAGTCTAAACATAATTTTAAATAGCTAATGTAATTGTAAGAACGATCCCTAATTTTATTATTTATCACGAGTTTATTAAGATAGTAAGATAACAATCGTGACAATCGATATAGTAAATGTATTAATAAGCTAAAAGTTTTAAATAAATTTATTTTAATTCACATATTTTTAATAATTTTAATCATTAAATTTAATAATGACACTTCTAATAATGTAATATCACACAAACAATAATGATATGCGAAGAATCAAAATAATAATAATAATAATAAATAAAAGACATTATTCACCAAATAACAAATAATGTAGTTATATAATAGTAACAACTTATAATGCCATTATTTATGCTAAACATCATTATACTCTTATAACGACATATAACGAGTAATGAATAAGTTGACTACGAAGAGAGAGACTCGACCTCCGTATTGTTTTTTTTTTTGTTTTCCCTTTCTTTGGCAACTATCAACCAAGTTGTTTTTTTTTTTTTTCACTTTCTTGGCAACTGAGTTAATTTTGTCTCTTGTTCCATAGAATTGCTAAAATGGGAAGAAATCTTCCATGAGAACTAATAGAAGGAATCTTATCTTGAGCAAAGGTCAAGTTTTTAGTGTAGTTGATGGCAATCTTCAATTCTTGATTGAAGAAGGTAACTTCCTCCAATTTTATCTTGGCTATATTTTGAGCATTCTCAAATTAAAAATATTATGTTAATTTGTAATGGTTTTATGTTTTTGTTTGAGACTATAATAAGGATGAGGTTGATGTTGATACTAACTAATATTATAATAAAAAAGATTTCTTAATTGAGGGTACTAGGTTTGCTTTATATTGTGATAGTGTCGAGGCTCCAAACAAATCAATAGTGGGTATTTTGAATAGTTTAATATTAGGTTTTTAACTTGTGTTGTCTTGCGGGTCGAACAAAATACATAAAATTATTTCATTTTGATATCTCGTTTTATATTATATGTCTATCAAAATATATCAAATCAAAAACTGAATATAAATTCATTTAATTTTATAATTTTTTAAATCAAAATTTTATATTTGACTAATTATTCTTTATATTTATTTTTTTTAATTATTTATTTATCTATCTATATCTACATTTTTAGCTAAAAACTTATTTTATGAATTATTGTTTTTTCAAAAGAAAGAGATATCTTTATATTTGACTAATTTTATGAGTTATCTTTAGTCATCACATTAGATTGAATTTATATATATTTGATTATATTTATGAAAAAAATACAAAAGAAGAGATACCCATTAAAAGAGGAAGAAGAAGGAAAAAGCTTTTTAATTACATCCAATGCAAGCTACCTAAATTATATTACAAACCTCCCATTTTCATTTCCAACTGAACCTATGTGAATGATTATATAGTCCAAACTTCAAAATGACAAAGGAATCCAAAATTGCCTTTATATGGTGTAAAACACTAAACAAAATCTAAGTAAAGTTTTAGGTAATATATAATAAATGCTAATGTTGGAGATGCCACCCATTCACTAAAAAATTGAAAAGCACTTAATTTAATTCTCGCTTTCACCAGATTTTAATACCAATTATAGGACATGAAATCGGGTGACCTTTTCCCATTGGTACATGTTGTTTATCAACTTCTAATTAATTAATTAATAACATATTCAACTTCTAATTAACTGTTAAATCCACTAATTCGAATGTTGAAACCCATTGATCAGCGTGTTTATCATTGGAAATAATTACTTTTAAGAGACAGGCTTTGTATAGGTGGAGATTTTAATCATTGCAGAAGACATCTAGATAATCATCTGTTACCCAACTATTTAATTAAATCCACTTAATTAAAAATATAATTTAGTAGTTAGAGGATTTAACGAACCAGAGGTTAACTAACTAATATGCCTACTCCACTCCTCTATTTTGAGCTTGCAATTAACCAAACTAATTCACCCAAAGCAAAATCCTCAGGCTTATAAACATCTTTCTTTTTTGAGCTTTTTCTCCCCTCAATTTATCCAAACCTCTATATGCCCATATCTTGGCACAAACTCCTGAAAGTCACTCAGCTTGCACTTGAACATTTGGGTCTGCACATGAAATCTGAAGAAACAGAAAATCAACAAAAAGTGCGCCAACAATTTATAATACCAATTAAGTATGATCATCGACACACCTGTCCATGAATTCTGCAAAAGGGAATATCATCCCCTGTTTCACGCGTGCATAGTTCTGCGCATTACCGTTAATCATTAACCTAAAATCCACGACACAAACTAAGCAATAAAAACTCCAGTGCGAGAAACATCAGAAAAGGGAAGAGAAATATACCCTTTGCGTTCCGTTTTTAGAGTACCCATAAAAAATAACACAAATAGCACCAGGAACACAGCAACTTAGTACCACAGCAGGAGCTTTCAAGATGGGATCAATTACAATAGCTGGATATCATGGGTACCTCTTCTTGCATTTAACCCAAACTAAAACACCCAAAGCAAAATCCTCAGGCTTATAAACATCCTTTTTTTTTTTTTTTTTTTTTGAGCTCTTTCTCTCCTCAATTTATTCAAACCTGTATGCCCATATCTTGGCACAAATTCCCTATATTCTATTAATGTATTACCCAAACTCATAAACTCTGTATGATCACCATTTCTACACTGAAAATTGTTACACCCTAACTGACCCACTTCTCCATTTCCTTCCATGGCATAAAACGGACAGGAAATAGAGCCTCTGAAACCAAATTTATATTATATCTATGTTTCTCACTATAAAAATCTTCTCTATCTGCAAAATCATCATCCTCTATTTCCAAATCAGTATCATCACTTCTACACTCTTCATTAAACCTGGAGTGGATGACTTCAAGCTCTCGGTTCTTAGGAAAAGTCTCTGGGTCAGCAGAGAGGCCATTTGTGTCCCAGCCATAGTCACCACCAGTCAAGTAGGATGGGGGCTCACCAGAGAATGGGCCCAAGTATTTGACGCGGTCTGGGTCGTACCATGGGCTTCCGAAGGGAACAGGCCTGGAGGTTTTCCTTATGGAAACACGACCGTTGCCCATCAGCTCAGGGGAGAAGGGGGTGAGCTTCACTGCCTTTTCGACGAGTGAAGGGGAGGAGAGGGCCATTGTTGCTGCTGCCATTGTTGAGCTCATGAGTATTGTTTGTGGTTTACTGTTGAAGAGAAGGTGTTTGGTAGTAGTGGTTTATTGTGGACGATCTCTAAATTTATATGGCCATGTGGGTTTCGCTTTGGGAGGGGTGAAGGTGGAAGCCATGTGTGTGGAACGGAGGGGCTTGTTGAGGAAGGAGGGTGAGGGTTCTCTGAAGAGGTTGAGGCTGCGAGGGTGAGGGTTCTCTGAGAAGGGTGAGGGTTCTCTAAAAGTATTTTTATCTCGAAACCAAAACATTGGTCTAAGTTATTCATACCTTAGCATACATTATGACACTTAGTGTCATTTTCTTTAAATAAATCTTTGTGCGACTAGTTGTCGCACATTTTGGAAAGTGAGCTTTAGGCAGATTCCTTCCGTGATAGTTATAAAATTATATCTCAAGACAAAACATTCGAAGCCTTGGTGTATAATCAATTTGATTTGGGTTGAAGTCTTTAATTTGAAAGTAAATCATAGTATTCGATGATTTAAATATATTTAATAAAAAGTATTAAGTAATGATTATTTTTTTATGTATTGTAGTAATGATCCTCAAATAGACAATAAAATTTTCTGTTGCTGTTAACGTAAATTCGAGAAATGAGACATCTTAATCTTTCATAAAAATAAATTTATAAATTTTCAATACATAGTGAGGATTATTGTTGATTTACTAGCTAGCCAACCCGTGTGAATTTTTTTTTTTTTTTTTGAGAGATATGGCTTTGTTTGAGGAGTAAATTATTAATTAGTCTCTCCAGTTTCAAGAAACAAATTAATTGATTTCTTATTTCAAAAATTATTATTTAATCATTTGATGTGTGTTGATCATATTTAATTTAATATTATATTTATTTTATAAAATATTTATTTTCTCATCAATCTCTCTATATATATATATATGCTTAAAATATAAAATTAAAATAAAATAAACAAGAGCAAAAAGACTAAGTTGTAAAGAGATTTAAAAACATAAGAACTAAATAATTAGCATTTGAAATGAAAAAAATTTAATTAATTTATTTTTCGAAATAAAAGAGACTAATTTATAATTTACTCCTTGCTTGAGCGTAAAAAGAAATGTTATTGCCTAAGTTTAAAATAGATCGCCGTCTGTGGGAATCGAACCCACGACCACATGGTTAAAAGCCATGCGCTCTACCAGCTGAGCTAAGACGGCCGTATGCTTAAGTGCAGTATTAAATAAATAAATCTAAACACAGTAGTTCGCTAGCTAAATATCGATTGTCCCTGAGTAGAGAAATTCGGGACCAATTGGTTGTTGAAAAACAGACACATGTTGTAAGAGGTTCTCTTGTCCTCATCTGTTTCTCCTTTTTTTTTTTTTTTTTTTTTTTTTTTTTTTTAACGCCACTATTTTTTAATCTAACGGTTGCTAATAATATTAGTCTAATTTAACGGTTTATAAACACATTATACTACTCAATCTTAGGTTTTTTTTTATTTTTTTTAAAATTTTTCACAATTATTATTTTTCTTTATTTTTTTTTAAATTTTACTGTTATTGTTTAAAATTTATTTCTTCAATTATTTGTTTCTTTTTAAAATTCTAATCAAATTAATTTTTTTGATATAATTTCATTTGTTGATAAAATTTTATAACATCTGTTTTTTAAATATATTATTATAATTAATATAATAAATTATTTTTATGCTTTTTAAATGAGTGTGTTTATTTTTTAAAATATATTATTATAATTTATAAATTCGATTGTATATATAGAAAGGGGAGAGAGAGAGAGAGAGAGAGAGAGTATATTTTAAATAGTTTGGTTTAATTTGTTTTTAAAAAAATTAATAATCAATTAAAAAGTCAAAAAATTTATTTGTTATTTTATATATATTTATTCAAGATTTATCGAATCAATTTTATTATAGTTTTTATTTTAATCTATTGACTTCAATATATTTCATATAATTTAACGAGCCTAATCTTTTTCTTCTTCATATATATATTATCATGAAATTAGGTGTGAAAAATATAGAAAATAAATTGTTATTTTTTTTAGTTTTACATATAGTTTGAAGATGATAGAATATATATGATATTTTTGTAAGATTTTAGTTTTGACATATATATTTGATTATATTACTCTTATTGTTTAAATTTTATTTCTTCAATTATTTGTTTCTTATTAAGATTCTCCTCAAATTAATTTTTTTTATATAATTTTATTTGTTAATAAATGTTTTTTTAATATATGAATTTTGGAATAAAATTTTAGAACGTTGGTGTTTTATCTTTTAAAAATATATTATTATAATTTATAAATTATGATTTTATATATATATATATATATATATATATATATATAGAGAGAGAGAGAGAGAGAGAGAGATAAAAGTATGTTTTAGGTAGTTTAGCTCAATTTTTTTTAAAAAATTCACAAGTTTTATTTTTTATATATATATTTATTCAAAATTTATCGAATCAATTTTGTTGTAGTTGTTTTAGTCTATTGACTTTAATATATTTCATACAATTTAGGTGAGTTTTTTTTTTTGTATATTTTTCTATTCATTTTGTATACTCTGAATCGATATATATATATATTATTAGTTTTATTAAAAATTAACTATTTATATGCACACATCATATCAATTCTTTATATTTTAATTTTTTAAACAAAATAAGTTACATAATTGTTTGAAAGAACTTTTCAATTATTCAAATACAAATTTTTATGTTAATATATATATATATATATATCAAATGATTTCGCTCAATATATAAATTTGATTTATATTAATTATCAAAAATAAAATTTTTATTTATAATATATAATGTGAATTGTTAATGTTATATACATAATAGGTGTATGATCACAGTGTAACATGGGTATCCATCTCGTGGTAACCTAAGCTAGCACTCGAGTTCGAGCTCCTTCTTCCCGTAATTGAGAAGATAAAAACGAAGAGAAAAAAAAACACTATCACTGCTGCACTAGAGCACAAGCCCCAAAGGGAGGAGCCAACATGTCTTCTAGCTGGCCCCCACGTTGCCACTGCTCGTTTCTATATTTCAAGCTCTCATTTGTTGTTTTAGCCAAGCATTACTAAAGAAAGAAAAAGAGTAGCTTTGCGAGAAAATACCACCAGACAAAAGAAATGGAGAGCAGCGAGGAAGACGATGATTTCCCTTCTATTGAAAGCATTACCCATCAGTCCAAGATCGACTCTTTGTATCAATCTCACACTGAAAAGGTTTGTTTTCTTGTTTCAAAATGTATCTTATTTAAGCTTAAATGGTTAAAGTTTGGACCTTAAATTTTGAGTTTAATTGTTTCTTTGCCGTGACTATTTGAGAAAAGATTTGATTTTTGAATCTGGGGTTTCTTTATTTGAGCTCAATTTGTGTCAAGAGCTGTTTTTGTCATCTGGGTTTCTCTCAAACTGTGCAAAAGTGTGTTTCCTGGTGTTCTGTGGTGGTCTAAGTTGTATCAAGTTGAATCGATTCAAAAGTTTTGGTGCATTGAATTGCATTTTTAGTTATTGTAATGTTTAGACGTGTTAGTGGCATCTTTCCCTTTGTTGGGCATTCAATACATCTGGATTTTGATAGGCTAGAGCTGCTTGTGTTGATTTTGGGCATTCCAAATGGTTTTCTTTTATGTCATCATTTTGTGTTGATTTTAAGAATCTTACTGTGTTCAGCCAGCTGTATATTTTTTTCCTAACGTTCATCAACGCAGGGAATCAGAAAAGTTTGTTGTGAACTTTTGGATTTGAAGGATGCAGTGGAGAATCTATGTGGCAACATGCAAACAAAGTACCTGGCTTTCTTGAGGTAATAAATTCCATGTGTTATTGCTTGATAATGAGTCAAAATTGCAATGTACCTTATCTTATGCACGATCTTAGAAAATAAGCTAGAGAGATTTTTTTTTATTCTCAGACTTTAGAATTAGATTATCATACCTGAAGCTCTTCAAGGAAATGTTGCAAGCTATTTGGAGGCATATATTCTCTCTCTGACTTTATGCAGCATATTGCTTCCTCTTCTCCTGGCTTTTAAGTGCTTCCTCCATTTAAGCTTCGTTCTGAATCCCAGAAGAATTTGGGCTTCCAATTCACTACAATTTGGGTTGCATGTACCGAAATACTAGAACTTGCATATTGTTTTGTCTTTTTCTTACTTGAGTAGCCATCTAAACACTGGTGGTCTGGATAGGTGACCTTCTGTATGGACTATCTGTGCGAGCTCAAACCTATACTCATCTATTGCAGTACATGGGAGGTGTTTATAGATAACATCTCCTTGTAACAATTAAAATGGATAATTTCTGTAGATATTCTTCTGAACATTTCCTTGCATGCTTTGCTTATTGTCACTTCAGTTCTGCTTCACAGTTTCCTGCTGTAAATTACCTTGAATTTCTAATCTTGTTTCCTAAATATTGTTTTATGATATTTATAGAATGTCTGAAGAAGTAGTGGAAATGGAGCATGAATTGGTTGAGTTGAGAAAGCATATTTCTGCACAAGGGATTCTTGTGCAGGATTTAATGACTGGGGTTTGCCGTGAATTGGAAGAGTGGAAATCTGCTAATAGCGACATTGGCGATTCTCAGCTAGATCCTCAAGTTGATGAACTTCAAGGTTCCTTGCCAAGTGATGCAGATAATCGGAAAGCAATATTCTTGGAGAATATTGATGTTCTCTTGGCTGAACATAAAGTGGAAGAAGCAATTGAAGCTTTGGAAACTGAAGAGAGAAATTGTCTGGAGCTGAAAGGTCCTGGAGATACCGCATCCACGGAAGCATCCTCATATAGATCAGCATTTTTGAAGAGAAAGTCAATGCTTGAGGATCAACTGATTGAGATTACTGAACAGCCTTTGGTTGGCATTCTGGAACTAAAGAAAGCTTTATCTGCTTTGATCAAGCTTGGGAAAGGTCCTTTGGCACATCAACTACTGCTAAAATCATATGGGTCCCGCCTCCAAAAGAGAGTTGAGGTTTTCCTTCCTTCATGTTCTGTGTATCCCAAAACATTTCCAGCTACGCTATCTAGGCTTGTTTTTTCAACAATTTCGGTGACAACAAAAGAATCTGGTTTGATATTTGGTGATAATCCTGTATATACAAATAGGGTTGTTCAATGGGCGGAGTGGGAAATCGAATACTTTGTACGGTTGGTGAAGGAGAATGCACCCTCTTCCGAGACAGATTTTGCTTTGGGTGCAGCTTGCAATTGTGTTCAGGCTAGTCTTACATACTCCGCAATGCTGGAATCACAAGGTCTGAAACTGTCAAAGTTGCTTTTGGTGCTCTTACGACCATACATTGAAGAAGTGTTAGAGTTGAATTTTAGACGGGCTAGAAGGGCAGCTCTGGATGTGGCAGAAATAGACGAGAGCTCGCTTTTTTCACCTCGATCTATGTCTCCATTATCTGCTTTTGCAACATCGTCAGACAGTGTGCTTGTTGATAGTGGAATGAAATTCATGGATATCATTGAAGTAAGCTGGTTTTCTTCTGTTATTCTGAAAATGGAAAATCCTGTACCTTTATACTCAAATCAGCATGAGCATTGTGTTCATTTATACATGCCTTGGAAGAAGATAATCTCTTTCCAACCAGCAGTTGCACTTGATAAATTAAGATGATGATTCTTGGCCACTTGATTTTACACAGTTACGTCAAAGTTCAAAGAAGCATCTTTAGACCTGTTTTCCTAGTGCTTGTGAATATGTCTGCACACATACAAATGCATTTGAGTATGTATGTATGTATGACACTTTCTTGGTTCACAATGTTTCTGGTTTGAAGTTTACTTATTGATCCGCTAGTCTAGTAGTTTATGATAATGATAATTTCATAGAATAATGTTCAGTTCAAATAATTTATACAGGATATATTGGCACAGCTAACGCCCATGGCTGTCCTGCATTTTGGAGCAAATGTATTAACAAGAATTTCACAGCTGTTTGATAAATACATGGATATGCTGATTAAATCCCTACCGTGTCCCTCTGATGAAGACAATCTCACAGAGCTGAAGGAGGTTATACACTTCAGAGCTGAAACCGATTCAGAGCAGCTTGCGCTTTTGGGATTAGCATTTACTATTCTGGATGAACTTTTACCACTTGCTGTAATAAAAGTTTGGAATGTAAATAATGAAACCAAGGAGCAGGAAAGTGAAAATATTGTGCCTAATGCTAGCATTACGGCAGAATTGAAGGAATGGAAGCGCAACCTTCAGCATTCTTTTGACAAGCTTAGAGATCACTTCTGTCGGCAATATGTTCTGAGTTTCATCTATTCAAGAGAAGGAAAAACACGATTAAATGCACTAATTTATTTGAGTGGGGAAGGGGAGGATTTGTATTGGGACTCTGATCCTCTTCCGTCATTACCATTTCAGGTTACCCTTCTTTTCCTGTTACTGATTTTTTCCCTAAGGTTGTTAATGCTACTCTTTTATGTTTATGGGTTTCCATTCTAAATTTCAGTATTTCTCGTAATCCTTGTATATCCAGGAAACTTCACGAATTTGGTTCCTCTGTTACTGTGATCACATTCATACTACCTTTTAAACTATCTCCATTTCTTTTCTCAATGCATATTTGTTTGAATAAATGCTGAATGTCAACCCATTGTTTCCCCTGCCAAACTTATTCCTGTTCCAAGATATAGGATGGAATCAATATTGATATATACTTAATAGATCTGAGATCGTTTATTGAATTGCTTATTTAATAAGCATTCATTAACATTGATGTCTTGAAGAGGACTCAAACTTCCGTGCTTTTTGGCACTTATGTGAGTGTTTTAGTCCTTTGTGATATATTGTTTTATCTTTGTCAGTTGAGTCAAAAAATGTGTTAATGCTGCGATCCGACTCTATTTCACTTGCCATCCAACTTAAAACGTGCTCTCAAGAAACCTATAGCCAGGCCAAGGATCTTGAATCCAACCTGCTTTCTCTCATTCAGCCACCATGAAATTGGGGTTACTTTACATTTTGCACCAGTATCCTTTTGATACTGAAGCTATGTTTTACTGCAGGCATTATTTGCAAAGCTTCAGCAATTAGCAACTGTGGCTGGAGACGTATTGCTTGGGAAAGAGAAAATACAGAAAATTTTGCTTGCTAGGCTAACTGAGACTGTTGTGATGTGGCTGTCTGAGGAGCAGGAATTCTGGGACTTGTTTGCAGATGAATCAGTTCCACTTAAGCCACTTGGTTTGCAGCAGGTATATTATTGTTTCCTCTGAGAGGATTCCAGGGTGGGGGTGTTGTTATTATTATTATTTTTTTTGGTCATAATATAATACATTTACCTGCCTTTTCCAAGTTATTAGAAAAACGATTTCTGCAAAGAATAACTTTTATTCGTTGCTCATCAAAGTTTGTCAATTAATAAATAATCTCTGCAAGGAATAATCTTCTTTTATATCACAAGTTAAGAGCGTAGGACTGATTGAGTATTGTGAAAATCAAAAGTGCAGAAGTTAGTGTTTGAGTGCAGAAGTTAGTGTTTGAGTGATCAGTTGGACCAATGAGTCAGTGACTTGGTCCCTCAACTGGGTAGATTTGCTCTCCTTGGTCACTCCTCTCCTACTCTGTATTCATTGACAATCACTTGAATTTGTTTATGCAGTTGATTCTTGACATGCATTTCACTGTTGAAATTGCCCGATTTGCTGGTTACCCATCTCGACATGTGCACCAGATTGCGTCAGCCATAATTGCTCGAGCAATCAGGACCTTCTCAGCTAGAGGCATAGACCCACAAAGGTACTCACAGTTCATTTCCACTGGATACTCCTATTCTTACTGGTAGCTAAACTTTTCCAACTTTTTCCTGTAAAGTGCCCTGCCCGAGGATGAATGGTTTGTTGAAACTGCAAAGACAGCCATCAACAAACTTCTGTTAGGAACGTCTGGGTCAGAAGCATCTGAGATCGATGAGGACCATATTATCATACATGATGAAATGGTTTCAGACTTCGACGAGACCGCTTCTTCCCTTTCGTCAGTAGAATCATTTGAATCTTTTGCTTCTGCAAGCATGGGTGAACTAGATAGTCCCGTGTATTTCACCGATCCAGAGGGCTGAAAATTTTGCTGTGATGGTGATCTCCGATCAAATATTTGGATGTAAAGATTCAAATTGTGAAGCTTAGGCCTATGCATGTCATAGGACGTAATGCTCACAAATGTTGTAGCAAACTATATTGTTGTAGTATCTACCAATGTTTGCCGATAAATGTAATTGTAGAACTGTTATATAAGAGCAATGTTTCATGCCGAACAACTTTGTGGTTGCTATTGCCAGTTGATGTATCTTATCAAGTGATTTAATTTATGCAATTTGGAAATTAAAACTGTCAAATGACGGCAGATTTTCACTTAGTTTTGTAAGCTCCTGCTGCTTTGCAATATAACAAGTGGAAGATTTTGAGCTCTTACAGTACAATTTCATTTGCTTTTCCTCTATTTACTTGCGTAGACCGTAATATTTGCCATTGTAATGGTTTTTCTTCAAGACAGTGGGGTTATATGTATATAAATATATAGCAAAAGTCGTAAATGCCTAATAATAATAATCATAGCTTATAATGCCCATCCAAAAAGGAGATCCACTGACTTAATGTTGTTTTGGTCAGATGACAAGTCGCACGTAATTGCTTGATGATAATAATAGCTTATAATGCCCATAGACAAAAGAAATCCCGCGATTTAATGTTTGGGCAGATGACAAGTCGCACATACATCCCCAAAGAATCTAAACTAAGCCAGTCTTGTCTTCTGTCTGCAGGTTCAGTTAGGGCATTCTGTCTTCCATTTTCGGAGCCAAAAAAGCGCGGGAAAACAGAAAACAGAGAGAGAGAGAGAGAGAGAGAGGGACGGCAAGATTTGAAGGGCCAATCCAAAAACCCAACTCAAGGAAACAATCAGCAAAAAATGGATTCGGATGCAAATTCAAAAGCAGGGACAACAGGAACAGTAAATCAGAAGAAATCAGAAATAGAAGTCCCAAATTTAACAGGCAGAGTCCATTTGCTACCTTGCTGCATCAAATATGATGGCCCTTCTGCTGTTGCTCACTACTTCAAAGCCAAACCCACTGGTAAGTAAGTTCAACTTTTTTTTTTTTTTTTTTGGCCCATTTGCCCCATCTCAATTTATGTGGTGTTTCTTATAATTCTATGTATTGTGTGTGCTTTTTTAGGGGTAGAAGTGGAAGGGATGAAAGTTGAGGAAGCTTATTTTAGAGGCAGGAAGTTACAGGGAGCCACAGTTCCTATTCCAAATGGGTATTCTGGTAAGTATGTTATATTGTAAGGAATTGAACCCAATTTTTTATTTTTCATTTTTTTGTTTTAATTTTTGTGATACAATATGAAAAAAAAAGGTTTTTTTTTTTTTTTTTCAGTTAATTTGGGAAATAATTTGAGTGTATGTGTGATTCTTGTTTTTGTTTTCTTATTCATTACTTTTTTTTTTTTTAATCCGTGAATTGTTTTTGGGTGTTTCCAATTTTTTGTGTTAACGTTATGGTAATGGTTTTGTGAAAAGGTATAAAATGGTTTCTTTAGGCTTTGTCTGGTAGCTTAAGTTTTTTAGTTTGGTTCAGTAATAGAATGCGTTCTCTAAAAGGAATACTATTTTTTCTCATTTTGTGCGTCATGTGATTAAATCAGAAATTGGCAATGCTGGGATGTGGGATCAAATTATTATTATTTGTTTTCGTTGGGATAGCATGTTTTGGGTTTTAGTAGTTATTGGAATCAGAATTTAAAAGTTAATTATAAAGATACAGCTGTCTTTACCTGGTATTATATATGTGGATTAGGGTGGAGAGTGGTTAAGGAACTATGTTGAAGAACTAACCTTCTTCATAGGCATAAAACATGGAGAAAAATAAAAGAGAACACAAGAAATCTCTTCGGATGTCAGTGTACGTACACTCACATCCGGATTTATAATTTTAAGATGGCATCAAATATGTTAGAAGCTAAATTGTATCTCCTCACAATATTCTTAGATTAGAACGGATTCTTGCCTATATTTGCTCCTCACTATGAAGATAGATCTTAAACAGGCTGATTTTTTTAGATTTTTTGGCATGCTTTTGATTTGATAATGGATAAGATTGTTTGTGATTACTGACATGGATGAGTTTATGGACTATTCCTAAGAAGTTCGAAGTTGTTTTTTTATTGTTGTCTGCAGGTTTTGTCATAGGAAAGAAGAGTCTTGACAAGAGAAAAGCTTCCGACATGTCTGAACAGAACTCTGATGGTTGGAAGATAAATGCAAAATTTGAGAATGTAACTTATTGGAATCATGACAGCCTGCCTTCAAAAGATGATGCTTTTGTGCGTTCCCTTCATTGGTTTTCGGTGGCAGAAGCAGTAAGTTTCTTTTTGATGTATTTGTCATGGATATGGGTGTAAGAAAGTTGATACATCAATAAGTGGCTGTTTTTCATTTAGGCACCTGCATCTGTGTGAACATGCAACTAAATTATCACATAAATGCACATGACCTTTTTGGGCCATAAAATCTCGAGGATTGAAAAGTAACTCGCAAATATATGTGTGGGAATAGTTTATGTTTAGGGCTATTGATTTACTAAATAGAATTGAGCTAAGAAGCCCAAAGTCTTCATCTTTTGCAGTCAGTCTAGTTGGAAATGGATAACTTCCTAGGTGTTGCAATCATTTTTGTCCAACGCTGTTAAGTCCTGGAAAATTTGAACCAGAATTTTCAGATTTTTCTGGGAACCAATTCTAACTTCAGTGATGTAGTTCAGTGGTATTTCATTGCTACAAAAACATTGAGAATGCATTGCTCAGGATTTTACCGGAATCTTAGATTATTGAATGTATTACCCCCTTTTGTTTGGAAGAATATTGAACCTTTAACGTTTATTAATCTTGAAAATTTTGTTTACAATTGCAGCTGCACAAGCCAGTAAAGAGAATTAAGCTGAAAGCTTCATTTTCTTCCAGTAGCCTAACTGGGAATTGGGCACTGGCTAGTTATTGCATTCATTTGCATGCAGCAGTGTTCTTGCAGTATGTAAAACTAGATTTCTCATATCTTTGTTGGAGCCAATTGTAATTTCTACGATGCAGTTATTGCCTAGAAAACAAAGAAATTCCATTGTTTAGGACTTTACTAGTATCTCAAATTACAGAACATACCTTTTTTATGGATAAAACAACATTAATCACCTTTATGTATCTTAGTTGAGAATTTGGTTTATGATTGCAGCTACACAAGCCAGTAACAGCTGAAGATTTGGCTTCTGCATCTATTGCTCTGGAGAAAAGGTGATGAAGAAACGGGAAGAGCTCCTTGTGAATTCTGCTACTAGCTCGGTGTACTTCTGATGCTCAACTCATTGATTTATTCAGTAGATTCAGCTCTCAAGCATGCATGCATCTGAAACGTTGATTATTTATAATTCGTCCATATCATTTATGACGGTGCAGGTTGACCATCCATGGGAAGGATCTTCTACAAATTACCATTTGATATTAGTGTCTTGGCCATGAAGCCCATTTGTGATCTTTCTCAAATAGCCTTTTGGTTTTGTACCTTGACCTTATAATTCTGTGTGAACTTTCCAAATACAACTTCAATACCTTGTAAGGCCATAGTGTGAGGGTAACGATCTTGACAGCTAACGAACACATGGGCAAATCCAAGCAGTCCAATGTGGTGTGGTGGAGACGTGATGTGATGGATGCTTTGCTTTGCTAATGTGCGAATGTTCGAAGTCTGTCATCTAGTGCAATAAGTAACACCTGGGTCATCCAGAGGCAGTGGAGAAGGAATTGTGTCAGATTGTCGTGTAAATTTTGCTGCTACTTTAGTGTGCCAATGCTAGAGGCTAACAAGATATTTTACTAGGAAACTTGAAAGAAAATTGTTTTTCTCTGATTTTGATAAGTAGTTGAAAGATGAGTTTCAGTCAGTGACTCTGCTGCTGTCAGCTGCCCTCCTTGCTAGGCGGATCAAATTTCTGTGAACTCGGCTTGGAGAAGAATAACAGGACGTCGGCACTTTTACTTATCCTATAACTACTGTCATTGGCTTTGTATTTACATTTCAGCTCAAATCTGTTACCATTTGAGTTTTGTATGATTTATAAACCTGCCTTGTTTATTTTGCTACCTCTTTAAAACCTTTTTTTTCTTTTCTTTTCTTTTTGGGGTGGTTTTTTCCTGCTGTTCTCTTGAGGCTCTTGATGGTTAGAAGCATAGTTTTAAATAACTCTCGTTACGTTATGTAACAAGCTGTTATATAACGGTTTCGGAGTATCTCGTTATCGTTATTTTAGTATTATAATGAGTCGTGATCCTCAATGATGACCGTGATTATTTTTTCACTCGTCCGCTATTTAAAACTATGGTTAGTAGACGAGTTGTTATTTATGCTTAGCAACTCGAAGAAAATAGTCGACTCATGTTTCGGATAGCTCATTTACATTGCAAGTCGAATTATTTTGACCTCGGTGGGGGATTAGAGAACAAAATTTAGATGATGAACATTTTGGCTTAAATTTTATTGAATGAAAGAGAGCCCTTTATAGGCGTCATTGTGCAAGGTCGGTGATCTGTTACAACCATATTCCGGGAATCTTGGAATGATGGCAGAGGCTAGCAATTCTCTTCAGAAGGTTGTGGAAACTAAATGTAACGGACATGACCGGAAGAAGAAAAAAAAACAAATAAGATGTAAGATAAATTAGAAACGAAGAGTGCATGCTGAGGTGGGCTTTTGCTCCTTAAATTACCGAGCCTAAAAATGTTCTTTTTGGGTCCGCATGTTCGAAGTTGAGGAAGCCCATTTGTTGGCCCTTCAGTCGGCTTTCTTCGACCTCGGGCGACTTCTTCATCACGCCCCCACAAGCTGGAAGGTAGACGAGTGAACGCCCGGCTTGAGCAACATCGATTCAAAGGAAGGAGTGGACGAGCCTTTGTGAAGACATCGACAAGTTGTGATCGGGAAGTTACGGGAAGGAGATGGATGGTGCCGGATTGAAGTTTTTCACGAACGAGATGACAATCGATCTCAATGTGTTTCGTTCGTTCGTGAAAAATTGGGTTTTTGCAATATGGATGGCAGATTTGTTATCACGGTAGAGGTAAGTCTGCTTGTTTGTGTTCTATACCAAAATCTCGAAGGAGATATAACGGCCATTGCAATTCACAAGTGGTCATGGCTAGGGCACGATATTCTACCTCGGAAGAACTTCGGAGATGGTGGGTTGCTTCTGGACTTCCAAGAAATGAGAGAGGAGCCGAGAAAGACATAATAACCGAGTGATGGATTTGCGAGTGTCGGGGCGGGTGCCCCAATCCGAATCGGAGAAGGCTCGCAATTGGAGAGGATAATCACGGCGGAAGAGAATACCCCGCCTGGGTGAGCCTTTGAGATAACGAAGAATGCGATGAGCTAGTTGCATGTGTAATGTAGTGGGTTTGTCTAGGAACCGAGAGAGTTGTTGAACAACAAAACTTATATCGGGCCTTGTAGTTATGAGATAGATTAATTTCCCAATTAGGCATCGGTAGGAAGTAATATCCGAGAATGGCTCACCTTTAGAAGATAGGTCTGCTATTGGGTGTCATAGGAGTAGAAACTGGTTTGGAGTCAAGGAAACCGGTGTCTCGGAGAAGATCCATAGTGTACTTGCGTTGGGAGAGGTTTATACCGGAGGAGGAGCGAACAAGTTCAAGGCCTAAAAAATACTTAGCTTCTCTAAGGTTTTTGATTTTGAAGGTGCAATCCGGATAATGCTTGGTGGTTTTAATCGAGTCATGCTTGGTGTCTGGCTAATAGAACATCATCGGCATAGACAAGCAAGATGATGAAGTTATCGTGTTGGAGCTTGGCGAGTATGGAATGGTTTGAATTGGATTGAGAAAAACCGAAGTAATTAGAGCGAAGTAAGTTTGTGATGCCATCGTCCGTTGGCTTGTTTGAGCCCATATATGCTCTTCTTCAATCGACAAACCATGGCGGGATGTGGAAGAGGTAGTCCAATGGGTGGTTGCATATAGACCTCTTCGTGTAGATCTTCGTGTAAAAATGCGTTGCGATGTCCAATTGGTGAAGAAACCAATTTTGGGATGCGATAAGAGCAAGCAAGAGCCGTATGGTGGTAGGCTTGACAACGGGGGAGAAGGTTTCGGTATAGTCTAGGCCATGTTGTTGTGTGAAACCCTTGGCAACGACTCGCTTTTGCGGCGTTGTAAGCTTCCATCGGCATTGAACTTGAGGTGATGAACCCATTTGTAATCAACAGCAACTTTCCCTTGTGGTAATGAAGTAAGTTCCCATGTTTTATTATCTTGCGAGTGCTTGTAATTCAACTTGCATGGCATCCCTTTATGCTTGGTGTTGTATAGCTTGTTTGTATGTGGTAGGTTCTTTGAGGGATGTTAGAGAGGCGAGAGAAGGCTCGATGGGTGAGGGATAAGTTATGATAGGAAATGAAAGAAGACATTGGATGGGGGAGGTACGGGTGAAGGTAGAGCGAGTCATAGTGTTGTAGGTATGAGGGAGGTCCGGACTGCCTAGTAGAGTGGCGGATTGGAGGAGGTGATGGTGATGGGGAATGTGGAGGAGAGGAAGAGGAAGGGGAAGTAGAAGATGGGGGGAAGGGTGGGAGGAATCCTCATTATGAATCGAGGAGGATATGAGTGGAGAAGATAGTGGGGGAATGTCATAATATGGGCCGAGTGGAGAAAGAGGTAATATGGGAGGGGGTATGAGGGAGTTTTGAGATGAGGCAAGGAAAGGGAAACGGTTTTCATAAAAAATCACATATCCGGAGAGAATGAATTACTTGGCGGTAAGATCAAACAGCTTGTATCCTTTAGTACTGTAGAGAAACTAAGAAACACACATTTCCTTGCCCTAGTATCGAACTTACCTCTGTTTGCTACTTTTGTAGATGCAAAACGAGGCGACCAAATACTTTTAAGGGGGTTAGATTAGGGTGAGAGCCAAATAATATAGAGTATAGAGATTTGTGAGATAAAATGAGAGAGGGGATGGGATTAATTAAATAGATCGTATGAAGGACACATTCTATCCGGAACCGGGTAGGTAGGTTTGCTTGTATTTTTAGTGCTCTTGCCACATTTAGAATGTGTTGATGTTTTCTTTCAACTCTTCCATTTTGTTGAGGTGTTTCGACACGGGTGGTTTCATGTAAAATGTCATTTTTCTTGAAGAAATCGAGCATGGAAAACTCTACACCATTGTCACTTCGATGCATTTAATTTTGTTGTCAAATTATCTTTCCACATATGCACGAAAACCCTTTGATGAGTTCTCTAGTTTCGGACTTATGTGTCATCATGTACACCCATGTCATTCTACTATGATCATCCACGATGGTTAAGAAAAAATTATATCCAAGAATGGATGGGGTATGATAAGGCCCCCAAATGTCTATGTGAATTAAATCAAAATAAGAGATAGCAATAGAAGGACTAACATGAAAAGGCCTTTTTCTTTGTTTAGCAAAATGACAAACGTCACATTGTTCGGTGAAATGAAAAACAACGAGAGGAATCTATTTTAGACGGAATTTGTAATCGTTGATTGGAGAGGTGTCCTAGTCTTTGGTGCCATAGGTGAATTGGTTGAGTAATAACATTGCAAAGAGGAGTAGTTGGAACATGAGTTGGTGGAGAAAGGTAGTATAGGCCATTCACTTGTTTAGCAAAACCAATCATCTTCATAGACGTGGTGTCCTAAATCCGACATGAGTCATGAGTAAAGATTAGTTGACAATGACAAGAAGTGGTAAGTTTGCTAATGGAAATTAAATTGAAAGTGAATATAGGGACAAAGAAGACATTAGTGAGAGTGAGAGATGAAAGATTGATTGTTTCTATGTGTGTGACAACCACAAATTGGCCATTAGGGAGTCCGATGTCTAAACCTTGGATTGTTTTATAGGTGGTTAAGTAGTCCAAAGAGCAAATGATGTGGTCCGTGGCGCCGGAATCAAGAATCCATGTGGATGACCATAAAGAAGAAGACATAATGGGTAAGGAGGTACCTGTTTGACTAGTGGAAAAGGTGTTGATCTCGTGGAACATGGATTGATTTGCCTTTGTGATCTCCCTCTCGTGTAGAAGCTGCATCACTTGTGCATACCGATCGACCGTAAGTCGATAACCGAGCTCTCATGAGGATTTTCCTTTGTTAGAGCCGAAGTGGCGGAGTCGAGTGTAGTGGAACAAGTATCCGAGTGAGTTTCCACAACGTTTGTTGATCCGAACTTGGGTTTATAGTTGTCTCTTGGTGTATAGTTGGGACGGGTGTTTGGGGAAAAATTAGGAGGAAAATCGTGTTTGTGATAACATTTGTCTTCAATGTGGCCACCGTTGTTACGATAGGTGCAAATTGGTTTTTTTGGTCTATGTAAAACCCCTTCTCCGATATGTTTTGGTGTAAAAAACTTGTGGTTCAATGGTGTTTGGGTTCGGGAAAGTTTGGGTGGAATTGTTTAATTGTCTTTTATGTTGAGCTACCATAAGCAAAGACTCTCTTAATATCGAGCGAGGGATCAATGAGCATGATTTAGGATTTCACAGTGGAGTAAGAATCATTCAAACCTCTTAAAAATCTAATAACACAATCACCGTCCCGATAGGATTTGATAGTTTTCGTAACGTCACATGTGCATTGTGGCTCACATTGACATTTAGGCATTGGTCTAAGATTGAAAAACTCATCCCATAGAATCTTTAGGTGAGTGTAGTAGTCTAAAACCGAGAGATTACCTTGACGAAAGCTGAAAATCTCCTCCCGGAGGTCCGAAATTCGAAAAGAATCGCTTGTGAGAACCTATCCTCCAAATCTTTCCACACTTCTATCGTTGAATCAAACCATATCACACTTTGTGCTATAGATTCCGTAACGGATCTCATCAACCGGGATAACACCATGGTATTGTATCTTTCCCAATAAACATATAAGGGGTTATTTTTAGGTGGCATAGTAATGGAACCATCAATGAACCGTAGTTTATTTTTGGACAACAAAGCCATACGCATGGATCTTGCCCATGAATGATAATTTGCATCGGTTAAGAGAGATGAAACAAGGATTAGAGAAGGGTTTTCACTAGGATGTAGATAATATGGACTAGTTGGGTGATCTTCAAGTCCGGTAGTATTTTGGTCATGAGACCGACTCTGCTGTCCTTGATTTGCAGCAATACCGGCATAAGAAGCCCCGACATGATAGAGATATTTTTGAAAGAGAAAAAAAAATCAACACACTCTAAAGGTGGCGAAATGATACTAAAATGAAGCCATGAAAAAAATTGTGACGGAGAACGGATACAAAGGCTGGTGCAGTGCTCCGATACCATGACAAAATTTAGATGATGAACATTTTGGCTTAAATTTTATTGAATGAAAGAGAGCCCTTTAGAGGCGTCATTGTGCAAGGTCGGCGATACTGTTACAACCATATTCCGGGAATCTTGGAATGATGGCGGAGGCTAGCAATTCTCTTCTAGAAGGTCTGTGGAAACTAAATGTAACGGACACGACCGGAAGAAAAAAAAACAAGTAAGTTGCAAGATAAATCAAAAACGAAGAGTGCATGCTCGAGGTAGGCTTACGCTCCTTAAATTACCGAGCCAAAAAATGTTCTTTTTGGGTCTACATGTTCGAAGTTGAGGGAGCCCATTTGTTGGCCCTTCGCCGGCTTTCTTCAACCTTGGGCGACTTCTTCATCATTTTGACCTCGAGTGGGGGATTAGAGAACAAGTTTGTGGGCTATATTTTTCAATTTTCTCTTGAGTTGGAAGGTGGGTTTGTACTAATGATCGGAAAAAGAATCAGGTTATGTTTTACCAAAGGAGTTCAATTCACACGTACTCATGCGAGCACACATGTATATATGATTGATCACATGAAACATTCCTCTAGATTAATCACATGAAACATTCCAATAGTCAATTTTTTTATTGAAACCGACGAGTGACATTAAAAAAATTTCATGTATCATGTCTCCACATGTCGAGTAATTTGTGCCAGTGCCTAAAAGGAACAAAAAAAAACTATTTTCATAGAAAAAGAAAATAAAACCTAGGTATAAAAACACTAATTTATTTATTTTTTTTTTATGAATCGATTTTGATTCATGGATTTCCTAGATCCAACACGGTGTCTTTTCTTTGTCCATCTTTTTGTCTCCCAGTTATTGTGCTCGTATTGCTCTTCTATTGGTAGTCACAATAGTTAATTCTACTTTTAGTTCATGCTCCTCCTTTTTAACACCATTTGAAAGGTCTCTGTAAGGCTCCAGCGTAGAGATAGCTTCTTTCTCTTTGTCCAGTCAAGCTAGAAGGGAAGGCGATGCACTTCAAGAATTTCCAGCAAGAAGAACTAAAGAATGAATTGCTAGTTCTAAGAGTAAGTCAAAGATTATGGCTGAATTGAGTCAATTAAGAGGGAAATCCGTGAAATCAATGAGTTTGTGCTACAAATTTGTATTGCAAAAGCAAAGTTACAAGAATTATTCAACAAAGAGGAAACACAAAAAGAACTACAGAGAAACCGAGAGAGATCGGCTTTTTTGCCAACATAGCCCCTATAAGGATTCTTCCCTTCATTTATACAAGCAACTAACTAACTTTGACATGCCGCTCTAAGCCACTTATAATCTTCATCAAGTGCTAGGAGTAATGAACGTGGCCCCTAACATCTTATTTGAAGAGTTACGGTCAAACATGTCATTACTAAAATCTATATCTTTTTATTTTTTTAAAGCTAAAATTTTAATTTAATCTTATTCATCATTAAATATGTCAACTAGAAAACTATCATCAATAATATAATAAATTTACACTAATAATTAAGATGCAAATTAACATAATTAAAATTAACGTAAATTAACAACATTCAAATAATTATTAAAAAAATTAAGCCGATAAATAACAAAATTAAACAAAAAATTAATCAACCAACAAATAACAAAAATTAACATCAAAACTTATGGAATTAATTTAATTTTTTAATAAATAAAAAAGTTAGAGAGAGAAATAATTATCAAAGAGATCAACGAGAGATAGGAGAGACTGCATCGGAGTTTGAGGGAGAAAGATGCGCCTCAGCCGAGTTACATGGTGCAGGGAGGCGGTGATTGGTGTGGGTAGGCAATTTGCCGGCGGCGGTTGCGTTTTGTGGAGGAGAGGGAAAGTTCGAATGAAGAAGAAGAGGAGAAACGACTCAACTATAAGTTTTTTTTAAGCGACGGATGCGTTTTTGTCTCTATTCTACCGTTAATTAGCTATAGAAATAAGTGTCCATCGCTAATTTGAATTTCAAACGGGCATCAAAGTCTTTGAAATTTTTGAGAAAATTGCCCAATTATCGATGAATTTAGTAATCCCTTGCTATTTAAAATTCAATCTTGAACTCCCTAATTGCATTTTATTTAGCGACGAAACTATCCATCGTAATTTATCAATGGATAGCGACGAAATTTCTAGTTGTTGCTAAATCAATGATGGAATTTCATTGCTGAATGTGATGCTTTTTCTTTTTATTGTGTTATTTAGTGACGAGTTTTAATTCCGTCACTTTTTACTGGTAAAAATTTTCTTTTTTAATCCGTCGTTAATTTATCTCCAATTAGAGACGAGAATAGTATCCGTCACTAATTACCCATTTTCTTGTAGTGTCCTATTCATAAAAATACAACCCAAGCACATATCAAATCCGACAATCAAACATCTAAACATTCAATCCTCAAAGCATAAACACATCAAAACATGAAATTGAATACACAATTAAAGCACATTTGTACAAATAATTAAATACAACCTAAGCATCCGAAAACATATCAAATCCTATAGTCAAACACCTAATTAACCATTCAATTCTCAAAATTATGAATACATCAAAACATGAAATTAAATATACAATTAAAGCATATTTGCACACATAATTACATTATCATTCAAACTCCCGGGTATTACACCAGACATGTCTTTCACTTTTCTCTCGCACGTGCTTTTTTCCACACAAGCGTGCCTCACTTGTTGAATTGTCATTCATTTACGCCAGCATTGTCAGCTTGATCTTACTCCAGAATTTGTCCTGTATCAGAAGGTGAATTCTGTACAAAGGGAAACCCTCTCTTTCAGGCCTTCACATTATTGGTTGAGACTTTACTTAGCTGTCACCCATCTTTTCATTCTTTAGTTTATGTTGTCTGCCAGATAGCAGATACATTGGCAGCTGGACGCTCCGCCTCTCTAAGCCCTTGCAAAAGGAGTGCTGTATATATATATATATATATATATATATATAGAAGTGTTAAATCATTTTTCACTTTTTTATAAAAAAGAAAATCAATTACTAATGTCAACTAATTTTACCCATAATCCATCCATGCTAATTTATCCCAGATCAAATATTACAGGTAGATGCCACTTACCATTTTTGGAAATCGACATGTCATCCATGTCTTTTTCGATGACGCTAGAAAGAAAAGTATAAATAAACAAAGAAAAGCAGCAGAAAAAAGCAACACAAAATCACGCAATCTCTGTTAAATTCACTATCCACTGCTCTGTCTCTCTCTCTCTCCCCCTCTCTGTCTATCTTTTTCATTTCTGCTCAGAAGAATCTGCACTTGAATCTTGAAGAGGGCATGAGGTTGGCTTCATCTCTTGAGCCATCAAAACCTGTAAGTAGTCTTCAAGCTTGCTTACTTTTTGCTTTGACTTTTAAGTTCTAATAGCTCAAGAAAGCTTTTCTTTTCTTGTTTAGTTACTGTTCTTTTTTGTTTCTTGGTTGGTTATACCAAGAAAAAAATATATCAGAGAAAATGTTACAAAATTGATTTTATACAATTTTTTATGGAGTAAGCTGGTGAGAGAAAAGTTTAGTATTTTTATACCTAGTTTTTTTTTTCCTGCAAAAAAAAAAAAAAAAAAAAAATATATATATATATATTTTTAGGTACGTGCAAAATAGTCTGACTTGTAATGTCATGTCAAATTTTATATGCCAACTGTCAGTTTCAATTAAAAAATTGACTTAAAAATTGTCTGGGAAGTCACATTAAAATAACTCGAGGAAAAAGATAGGTGATAAATAAAAAAAAATAGAAAAACGTTTTGTGAAATTAACCCTCTCTAGTGTGCGTGTAAGGATAAGCAGGAGTCAGCTTAGCAAAGAACTCTACACATAAAAACCTCACAAATATTCTCCTTTTCATTTAGCAGCCTTGTGATTCAGTAGAGTCCAAAGTGAAAAATGAGAGACATTGCCTCCCGCAAAGAAGAGACAGGATTAAATTCTGTTACAAACTAACAACAAAAGTAATACTCAACTCTAAGGCAATAGTTGGGGTTCTTATCGAAACAATAAAAGTAAATGCAACGTAAAAAACCATAACATGTAATGTGTTATTGCTTACACATTTACCAGACCTGGTAACTCTTATCGAACTATTGAAGCAAACAGATACTTTTTCAAAATACCAATTGTTTCTGGTCTTTCATTGCCTGCAGCACCCGCTACAGCGCCCAAAAAAAAGGCTCCTAAAACAGCACTTAAAAGGAAAGTGACACCATGGAAGGAACTTCCTTGCTTCCTTAAAGAAGTCCATGAGAGTAGTTAAAAATGCCACATATAAAGGGAACTGCATCACTGCAAATACTGACACGGGAAGGAAAGCAGCAATCGAAATCAGACCCGTCGTCCATCGCTTCTTTAAGCGAATGACAAGGAAAAGGGTGGAAGCAAAAGCAAGCATGGTTGTCATCACTGAGAAGAAGAGTAAAGTGAAGCCACTTATCAGTCTCCGAGGAATGTCGTGATAGAATTTCTCACATTCAAAAGGAGTAGTAAGGATAGAAAGGAACATCACAACTGAGGTCAAGGAGCTCGCTAAGGCGATAGCATCCAAGACAGTGAAAGCCAAGAAGAAACGGTCGCGAAGGAAAATGGGAAAGCCACGATCGTCAGAACCTCCCGGTATAGTGTAAGCGGCAGCAAAGACAACGGTGGCCACAAGAACGGCTACCGCCGAGCATGACTGAGAGGTTTTCTCTATCCATTCTTGCGCCATCTTGAGTTGGATTTTATGCGACGCTTCGAAGAGCTCGTTTGGAGTCATGTTGTGCTCCTTCTCACGTTGCAATGCATGATAAGGAGGAACTACCTTCAGCACACGCTGCACGGACAGAGAACATGGGAAAAAAAGAAGAAAAATCATTAGTTTTGGTAAAGTCGTTAATTATATATAGATGCAAATTAATTTCACTGATTTTGAATTAACTTGGAACGTGGGCAAATTATAAATAAACATCCTTTTCCTCGTAAGTAACAATCAAATCTTACTTGCAGCTAGACGTATAGAGCTGCATTTCATAAAAATATGGCATGGAGTTACGATTGTACAAGAGTAACTCACCTTAAACCACTTTATCTCTTCCTGGAGCTGGAGTGCAGGGCCGGGCTTGGTTCCTCCGCGGTAGTGCTTCATGTGTGCAACTTGGTGCAACAATGTGTAGCCATTATTATCGATCATCGAACTCAGCCTGGACATTATTATTTTCTTTTCCTTTATAAGACGGAAAATTTTCCTCTGTCGATGCATCACAGCCACATGCAATATGTTTAGCCCCATTTTATCAACAAGCTCAATACCGTGAGGATATTTTTCAAGTATTTCGTTGACAATCTCTATTATTCCATTACTAGTCGCTATAAACAACGGGTTTGGAGGACTCTTTCTTCTATTTTCTTCTATCTTTGGTTGAACATAAACAAGCTCAATACCCTGAGGAAACTTTCTCTGTATTTCGTTGACAATCTCTACTATTCCATTAGTAGTTGCTATAAGAAACGGGTTTGGAGGAGGATTCTCGTGTCTTCTGTTTTCTTCTATCTTTGGTTGAACATTTTCATTATTTTCTACTTCTCCCCCTCCTCCACATTTTCCTGGATCTGCTCCTTGTCCTTGTCCTCCTCCCCCTACTTCTCTTCCTTTCCCGAGGTCTACTGCTTCTTGTGCTTCTACTCCTTGTCCTCCTTTTCCTTCGCCGCCTCTTCTTCCTCTTCCTTCTCCTGGGTCTCCTCTCCCTCCTTGTGCGTCTCCCTGTCGTTCACTTCTTCCTGGATTTCCTTTTTTAAACCCGGTTTTCATATTACCTTTGGTAGACTCAACTTCGATAGGTTGCCACCAATTCTTACTGTTCTTTCCGATAAGCTGCTCGGCAAGTTTCAACGCAGATTCATGCCTGTGCTTGTCTTTCCGGATTCTATCAGCCGGTGGCCACCCTATATGTTTCTTGATATGTGAGACAGAGAGAGAGAGAGAGAGAGAGAGAGCTAGCTATAACGAATTTTCTGCAAATATGAACAGAGTAGTATACCAGAAAATAATACAAATGTTCAATTTTGGTGAGATCAAGTGTACAAGTTTCTAATCCTATGTCAATTTTCCAGACTTTCCAATTTTTCTTCCACGTATAGGGATACGGGTACAACTACAATTTACCGCCGGTTTAATGATTTTTAATGATAGAAGATATATATAAAAAAAAATGCTTTACTACTGTTAGAAATTAATCTTGGTTTGATCAATCAACTACTAGAAAGTGGAAAATCAATCTACAACTTTCTAGATTAAAAAAAAAAAAAACTTAGTTAAGAAATTGACCTGTCAATTTTTTAACCATGTTGGTTTTTGACCAGTCAATTTCTTAAACTCATCGTATTCTTAGTCGTATTTAGTTGTTTAGTCAGGTTGTTAACCTATTTACAACTAGTAAAAATAAATGTTAGGGTTTGTATTAGGAATACATGTGTGTGGAGCAAAAATAAGAGAGAAGTGAGTTAGAGAGAAAATTGTGAGTGAAAAAATAAATCAACTCAAACGAGTTCTTAACCATCTTGGTTTGACCAGTCAATTTCTTAAGTTTATTGTATTCTTAGTTGTATTTAGTTGTTTAAGTCAGATTGTTAACCTACTTACAACTAGTATAATATATGTTAGGATTTGTATTAGGAATATAATAAGAAAATAAATCAATATAACAAAAGCCAAAGTTTGTGAGAGTGTTATTTGTGAGGGTATTGTTCAACTAATAAATTTCTTGTTGAGTAATTTATATTTATTCTAGTCCAATTAAATTATTTTGAGAAATTATTGTTTGAAATTTCCCTACACCTGGTGTCAGAGCCCGTCATAACAAGATGGCTTCAAGTTCAAGCATAGGATCACAATAAATTTAGCAAGTGCAGTCAACAGTTTTCAAGTTGGATGGAAAAACAAATTTTGCGATGTGGGAAACATTAATTGATGGAATTATGTTCGAAAAACAGTGGCTATGGAGAAATTTTGGAAAAGGATTTAGTTGAACCAACAAAGGGAGAAGAGTTGGAGGATGCAACAAAACAACAATTGGATTGTGATCACTCACTCAATGAAAAAGCTTTGTTCTTAATTTGCCAACCTTTTGAGCTCAGTCCTCGAAAAATTCCAACCCATTTATTATTTTTTTAATTTTATAAATATGATGGATTAATTTTCCAACACTGTACACCTAAATAAGAAATAGAATCATAATTTTTATATGGGAAAGAGATAACTTAATATAAAGCACAATAACAATTGATTCAATATATTTCTTTTGTACCCATAAGTGTTATTAGATTTCGGATCAATTCATATTATTCACTGCCTCCATTATTAAAATAATATTCTAATGTATTCTAACATGCTTCTAGAATATATATATTTTGGCATTGTCTTTAATTATTAATAGCTTCATATTTCCAAATCTAATCTAATCATAATTAGACCCATTTTTCTTTTAGCATGATCTGATTAGGAAACCTTAGTATTATGTTTTTTGAAACTAAGAAACCTACTATATTATTTAGACAAGGAAAACCTCCAAAGTCGGCATGGCCAAGAGTAATCCCTAAGTTCAAGATGTTAAAACACATATCTCATATTGAATAATTAAATAAAAAATGATTAATATATAAAGTTGAGAAGATGTCATTCACCATAAGGTTTAAGTCTTTTATATGAAACTCAATATCAATTATTTACCTCTATATGGTATCGAGCACTAAAAAAACTTAACGGCCTAATAAAAATCCTCAAGCCCAAACCATTTAACAGATCCTAAAAAATAAAATAGAAATGAAAAAGAGTGTTAGATAACATATTTTATATTAAATACTTAAACAAAAAATTATTAATACATAAAGTTGAAAAGGGACAACCTACCACAAGATTTAAGTCTTTTAGATAGAATTTAATCTCAACTATCTAATTTTATAAAGCCACATAACAAATCTCAAAAAATGGATTGCAAGTTAAGGAGGAGTGTTAAAGAGCATATCTCATACTAAATAGTTAAACAAAAAAAAGATTAATGTATAAAGTTGAGAAGGAGTCACACATCACATGGTTTAAGTTTTTTGAATAAAACTTAATCTCAACTATCTAACTCTATATGATATTAAAGCATCAAAGATGTCATTGAACTGAAGTTCAAGCCACTTGATAGACTTCAAAATATGGGTTGTAAATAAGAAAAAATGTTAGAACATATATCTCATGTTAAATAGTTAAATTAAAAAAAAAGATTGATATCTAAAGTTAAAAAAAAGGATCACTTACTACAAAGCTGTAAGTATTATATATGAAATATAATCTCAGTTATCTAATTCTATAAAGCAACTTTCAAAAAAGAGAAAAAGTTTGTGTTATTTGGATAGATGTTTTTTTTTTAAGAGATTTTTTGTTGTTTTATCCATACTGTAGACTAATTCACTCCAGCCTTTTCAACAATTTCCCAAGGTATTGCTTTTGAAAGGATTGATGTCAACAATTTTACATCATTTTCAATCTTTATTAGATAGATTATATAGCAGTTTTCTTGGTGTAAATATGTTCGCGTGACCAGCTCCATGGGGAAATGCTAAACCCAAGCTCGACCCAGTTAGTAATCAAGCTTCCAGACCGGGCCAATCAATCGGGCCAGCGTCGGTGGTCTATCTCCCAATCCCAAGGATAATGCCGACGAAATTTCCTGCTGTTCTTGCTCGACAGCAGGAAATTCGGTCCTTCCACGAATTACTTCTGGCATTTACTAAGGACGATTTTGTTGCATGAACAATATTATTGTTGTTTCTAATACTACTGATATCAATGCTTAAGCCGTGGTTGCTTGAGTTTAAAATCACAAGACCCAGGGAGCATCGGTAAGCGCAATATTATCAATATAACTGTGGAAGTACTTGATGGATGCCAAAATGGTTTCGATCTCAGTACCTATTTTACACCGACGCTGGTCGCGATCACCACCTGCGGCGGGAAGGCCTGCAAAAAACTCAAAACTTAAGTCAATCAAACCTTCTGGGATTTAAAGTAGCGTAAGCAATACTATAAAATGGTCCTGGAGTTTGACATAATCCCAAGAAGAAGAGAAAAAACAAAAAAATTAAATCCCGAAAATCAGTGTTCAATCAATATTCCGTTAAACAAACGTGCCTGAGAGCAGATGTTCGAGGTGATGTTAGCTTAATGCTGATCAAATAAATAAACAGAAAAGAAAATTTTGCATCAAACATACAACAGTAGAGCCATTTCTCAAAGAAAAATGCTTGCTGTATATATCCACTCTTGAAAGCACTAGGCATATCAGCAAGGAGATGAAGACAGGTCATGCCCTGCTCGTCCTTCATTTCATGAAGTGATTTATCCAGTTCCAGCAACTTCAGAGCAGTTTCTGCATTAGAAAAAAAATGACATTTGATTTGTTTCTAAATCACTTGTAAATTTAAGTTGATATGTAATCTTTAGTGTTTAGGGATGAATGTGTGTGCGTGTCTATAGATGTCGTAAGAGTTCCATTTAATTTGAGAGAGAATAAGAGCAAAACCAAAGTGTTGCCCTTGGATGGCAGCATGAAGAATCGGCTTGAGATCTTTTCTCTTGCGGTGTTTTTCGATTAGCTTTTTTCCCTGATCAAAGATTTGCCCCCCAAATTGATCAGCTAAATGCTTCACTATTTCTGTCTTACCACTTGAAGCAGCTCTATAAAATGGGGTCTCGCCAAGCACATTTTCAGTCTGCAGTTGCTCTGAAGGATCATATTTACCGGCCGCGTGTTTCGGGACAAACTGGAGTAAAGCTTCCACTGCTTCCATATTTCCAGCAACAACTGCTTCAAGAAGAACTGTGTTTCCATATGCATTAGTTTTTGTAAGGGGATTCCCGAGCATTTTGTTATTATTAACAATATCAAGTAGTCTTCGAAGCGGTTGAACACTTCTGCTATATACTGCCAAGTGAAATGGAGTATCTTCTGATGCCGTTATTGGAGACATCATGTAAATAACTTTTTCTCCATGGTAAGCACCAATCATCTCATTCCATTTTTCTTTCAAAGCTGCTTTGTAGGCCTCCTTCCTTACAGTTTCATATGAACCCATCGAGCCTTCTCTTCTTTGTCTATCTTAAAGTTCTTTGCAACTGCATTATTAATTAGGAGCGAACTCGTAATTGTACGTACTATAGATCCAGAAAAATAAAAAGAAATATATATTTTAGAAGATTGATGAAGGCAGAGAGCAAAGACTTCGCTCCCAACACCGATCCTTGGGGATTAAAATCTAGGATTAAAAAAAAGATTTGCCTATTGTATAGAAAAGAAAGGGAGATCGATTCCATCTTTCTACTGGGGGAGATTCTGCGTTGGTAAAACCATAAAAATTGTGTTTAACTGCATGTTTCAAAATTTAATGACAATCAATTAGTTTCGAACCAATGTTTGTAACATGCGGAATATCAGATGTGTAACAAAGAAATTTTGCCATGGTTTGTTGTTCAAGTTTATTCCCTCATTAAAAGGTTCAGATTGTGTAACAAGTGTTAATATAATATAATAGTGAGAAAATCATATACTCTCTTGTCTTAATGAGATTGTTTCTAGTTGGTCTATTAAAATAGGTTTAAAGTAGTGGTAATCAATCTTATCCCAAATTTCTTTCTAAATTACTTTTTCCAAGAAAAAAATCAATGATTGGATTTGTTAGATTCTCTTGAGAAATTCTTTTATCCAATGGATGTGATTTTCATTCAAAGCATGGAATTGTTCAGAAAGTGAAAAAATATTCAGAAAGATTAGCATGTCGTTTATATACTTAACTGATATATCAAATTTAAAAATAAAAATCAAGGACGTGTTTTAATAAAATGCTGAACCCTCACCGTCCTCACGAAATGACTGAACCCAGAAATTAAAAAAAAAAAAAAAAGGTTCAAAATCGGATGTTTCTTTTTTTTTTGATAAAATGAACTCGATAACCTTTAACTACATGGATACAGGGGAGAGTTCTTATATTTTATTTCTATCCATACGATTTTGAGGATGGTATATTTTAGGAAATATTTTTTAGAAAATAAATATAAATCATATCTTAGAGCTTTATCTAAAAACTAAAATTTTTGAGTAAAATGATCATTTGACATGGTATTAAAATTTTGATAATCAAACGATTATAAGTTTAAATCCTATCACTTTAACTTTCATTTTTAATTAATTAAGAATAAAGTAATATGAGTCAACATAAGTTTTAAAATTAAAAATTTTTCACTAAAAAAAAATATTAAAGAATAATATAAATTTGAGATGTTGTTCGACAAATACGATCCATTAGAGCATCAGCCGGTTGGCTGTGGAGAATAAAAGAGGCCTAGTTGGTTTCCTTATATTACAATAATACCACTAACCTGCTGCATTCATTGGTTTTCAGTTTCAGCATTCAGGACACGCCAAGTGTCAGCAAGGAAGAAAAAAAAAAAAAGGACTGCCCGAGGAGAAGGTAGCTTGACAGTCCTGGTTGCGACCACAATAATTGGAGGCTTGATATATATGGTTATTTCAAAACATTATTATGATTATATAGTGTCTTCAAATGTATTCTTAATTATTGAAAATTAATTTATTTATGATTTAAATAGTATTTTTTCTCTAAAGTAAAAAAAAAAAAAAACTGTTGAAATTGTATTTCATTATTCGTAACTATCATAATCATATTAAAGCAATTAGTTAAATTATAAAAAGATAATATAATTTTTTAATTGATTTAGTAAATCTATCAATCAATTTGTAATCACTTACTTGTTAGGAAGTAAATAATATTTATTTCTCTTTTATAAGTAATAATATATCTTTGAAAAATCATAATTATGAAATAATATTAGTAAATATCATAATTACAAGATAATTAATTAAGTTACTGGGTGACAAGATAAATTATTACAAGATAATTAATTAAGTTACTGGGTGACAAGATAAATTATTACAAGATAATAATATGTTTTCTTATAATTTATAAGTTAAAAATACTATAATTATAATGTCTTTACGTAATCATAGAAAATGCCAAATAATTGGTACTTTTCTTTCATAGTTAGAGAAATTCTTAGGTACATGATGGTAACATGAATTCATTATAAAATGTGAAAGATAAAAATACAAATCCAAAGATATTAAATTATTATTCTGGTAGTTAATAATAATAGCCATCATTAATTTACAATGGACGCCACAATAAATCACATAACTGGAGAAATATTAATGTATTCAATGAATAATTAACAATATTTATTCTTTCTCTGAAAATACACGTGAATTAACAAAAAATAAAAAATAAATATTTTCATCAAAGCTCTATTTTTTTTTTAATTCTTTCTCTCTTTTTTCTTTTTTCTTTTTGCTTGTGTATATCTCTCTCCCCCTTATAAAGTAAGTAATATTAATTACATTTTGAATCCTATAAAATTTCTCACATAATTGAAACTCAATGAAATGAGGGAGGTTTAAGTTTTACAATAAATTTCCGGTCATCCATCTAAAAAGCCTAGAAAAAAATTATAATGAATTAAATGGCAAGGAATACCAACCATGCACTATTTAACATAGCATAAAATTAAGGAAACTACTGAATCAAGCATGCAGGCAGGAAAAAAAGGAACCCATCTCATTTGGCTGGAAATTTATTATATTTAAAGCATGTAGGAAACTGACCTAATTGCGGTTAAATTTACAGTAGTTCTATCTCATCATAGTTACGAAGAAAAGTAAAAAATCTCGACGGAGCGCATAAAATTGTAGGTAGGTAGGTATATCAAATTTTCAGTTTGAAAATGCATTGAAGGAGGGATTTTATGCTGATTAAAACAACTTAAAAAAAAAAAAAAAAAAAAGGTATATATAGAGTACTTTTACCTCAGCCGATAATGTGGAATCGCCAGGTTCGCTTCTTGCTTCTCTGGGCTTTCACTGTTTCCCCCTCAACGCTCTCCCTAATCTTCTACGGTCACAGATTTTTGAATCTCTCACAAATTCCTCAACGCAACAGCCTTGGCAAAAAGCTTCATCGCGTTATATAGCCTGTTATAACCTGTCCCATCCCGCGGAAGAGTAAATTATAAATTTGTCCCTATCGTTTCAAGAAAAGAATTAATTAATTTTTATATTTTTAAATTTATTTTTAAGAAATTGAAAAGAAAAATATGAAAAATTGATGAGAAAATAGAAGAAGATATTTTGTGAATAAAAATAATGTTAAATTAAGCGTAGTTAATAATATTGAAAGAAATAAATAATAGTTTTTTTAAAAAAATTATTTATTTATTTTAACTAAAGAGACTAATTTATAATTTACTCACCGCAGACCTACCCAAGGAAAATAAAGTTACTGAATCGAGAAAAAAAAAGTTTTGTTTTTATTTTTCAAAAAACTTGCAACATTCCTTTTTTTATTTGACATCCATGAGTGAATACCAATCATTAACTCATCAATGACTGAGATTAAATATTTTTATTTTAATCAATGCATCAAAAAATTTTTTTATTGAATAAATAAATAAATAAAATCATAAACATTGTAAAGTTTATTGATACTTTGAATTATTTAGTATAACATTTTAATACTTGCCTAATAACCTTCATTCGATTCAACTCATCAGTCTTATAAACAATACTTGACCATCCATAACGTAGCACGGGATGCTAACTTGTAATAACTAAAAAAACAGTGAAAGGATTCGTAGAACCATGACTAAAGCTTTCATATATATATATATATATATATATATATCCATGTGGTTTTAAACATAAAATTATAAAAATATTCAGATTTCAATTATGATTTTGGATAAGATTTAGATCACAAAGAAAAAATGAATGTTGATATAACTAATATTTAAATTTTTGTAAATAGTAAAACTTAAATTAAAAGAGAGAAACAATAAGTCATAAATGTATGCAAGTATTTGGCACTCGAAGTTAAAATTAAAAGAAAAGAAGTTACGAGAACACATAAATTTGGCATATATATACGTGTTTATCTACGAGTTTTTTTTTAATCAATCTTATTTACAAAAACAAAGTTGTTTTAATCTTATTTGTTAAAACAAAATACTTTTTACTATCTGTATCAAATCACCATCACATATCAATTTTTTTATTGCTAAATTCATTAATAATTTTATAAAATTTTAGAAACAAATATCATTTTCAATATATTTGTTTCATTAGTTATGATTATCAAATAAAATCAAATACTAGTAGACCCAACCTCACTAGCTCATCAATAAGATCTATAAACAATTGCTCTAGTAAAGCCGGAATAAATAAACCTTCAAGAATCGGTAACTCAATTAGTAATCTCTTTTTGTAAAAATTGAAATGGCTTAATATTAAGGCAAGATCCGGTCACACCACACATGGAAGAGATAAACTCTATCGTAGTGGAGTAGTTTGTTAGAATGCAACTACTTTAGAGATAAACTCTGCTGCGAGTTTGTTAGTTACAAGAACTCTATTGCAGTAGTTTGTTAATTACTTGTACTCTCTAGTTCTTATCCATTGTATTACTTTGAATTCTAGTCACACTACACTTGTACTTATATAAAGGACATGTTAAAGTCCTAGTAATACAAGGCTGAAAAATTACTCTTCCAGCGAGCATCATACGTTTTAATTTGGTATCAAAGCTTTATAGGCTAATCGCTCCTCTTTTCTTCTTCTCGCCGACACTAGCTGCTACTCTTCCCTCCTAAAAATATTCCATACCTACTTAACCTAGGATAGGGCTAGCTACCTATTGAAACATAAAGCATGACGTCCCTTCGTGGAAGTCGAAAGGGAGAAAACATGAGATGTTCCAATCGACCTAGCCAATCGTTCTCTTAATAGTCTATTGTCTATCTTACTATGCTTTCTTTAGGTTAAGACGTGGGAGTTGTTGATCTTAAGAATTGCTTAAACAAAAAAAAGCTTACTACTTTCACTTGCGTGCCTCACTAGTTTGAGGACTAAATTGAATCTTGACTATGGGGAGAACTTGATACATAAGTACACATGTAGTAAGGAGCGAAGCGGTAGAATATGCACAAAAAAGACTAACAACAAAACGGATGTTCTTATGAACACACCTATTACCCAAGATGCCTTCGCGAGTGCATATTAGATTAGGAGTTATTTCTTGTTGGATGAAACCACGGTTAAGAGAATGAATAAGCCTCCTCGGACCATACAAGTGTATGACGAGCCCATGCAAAGGGTTTGGTTAAGATATGCAAGATTCCATGAACTCTTCCCTCCTAAAAATAATACCGGCCGATGCTAGCTTAGCTATTGCTCCTCCTTCCTAAAACTATTCTAGACGCTATTGCCTATTCCTTCCTAAAAATAGTCTAAGTTGCTACTTCCTCCTCCCCGCCAAAATACTCCGGACGTTATTGCCTCCTCCCTACCACAAATACGTTCAACCAATACTAGCTACCTGTCTAGCATCTCCTAGCCCCACCAAATGACTTCCTTTAGCAACAACACCTCTCCCACCACCATTGCTGAAACCGTTCCAACCATTCCTTAACCCACCACTCCAATGAGTCATCTAACAAACTCCCACCACTTTAACTCCTTGAAACTAACCTAAACAAATTGCCCACTGTGGCGTATTCAACTCAAGCCCTTTCTCCTTGGTTAAAACTTATTCCGGTTTGTTGATGGATCTTTCCTTTACCCCTCGAAGCCACATTCCAACCTCTAATGGTGGCTTTCCACAATAAAACCACGCCACAAAGCATGGATCCAGCGGGACCGGCTTCTAATGAGCACATTTATCTCCTCTCTCTTGATAGAAGTGCTCCCTATAGTGATTGACTACACCACACCTAGTGAGGTTTGCTTCACACTTGAAAGAGGCATTGCTTTCCCATCTAGCACTCGAATAATGAGCCTATAACTAGCCTTATAACGGCTTAAATAGGACCACTATAAACTAGTCTCTACCTTCCTCCATCATGCCAAATCAATTAGTGATGAACTAATAAGAGTTTGTTGTCCTCTTCTCCCGATTGACTTCAATTCTTACATCTTTAAGGGCCTTTTTAGTGACTTCGAGGACATTGTCACTACTCTCTTCACACATTCCGAACCGGTAACATTCATCGACCTCCATAGCTTCTTGGTTAGCCATGAATTCCTTAATCTTGATTCGGATTCAGCATCATCACCACGAGCATGGACTACCGCTTACACCTATTACTTCTTTATTACCCACGCCTCTTGTGGCTCACATGACGGCTAGGGGCTTGGGTTATAAGCCCTAAGGACATCGTTACATTATCTTCAATAAAAGCTGTAGTAGACATTCCGGAGGAAAGGAACATGGTCGCTCCAACCACGAGTATGGAAACACCTATTTTATCCTAAAACCGTAGCTATTGGAAAAACAAAGACAACCACACCAAATGTTAGATCCGCCATGTATGGAGCCATACATCTATCCACCGCCCACAACTCCATATCGACCATTAATAGCCCATTGCAAATATCTCGGTTTCCTTTACCCCACAATTGTACTCACATACATGGTGTCCTAATATCAATGCTTCACATCATGTGACTCCTAACTTAGCTAGCTTAAGCATATATAAAGCATACACGGGTAAGGATTAACTCTAAGTTAGAAATGGTGAGTTTTTACCTATTTTGCACATTGGATCAAGTCATATTAAAACTCCTACTAAATCTCTTAAATCGTTTGACGTGTTACTCGTCCCATAAATAACCCAACCCCTATTATCCGTGAAACGCCTTGCCAAAGACAATGACTTATTTTTGGAATTTCACCCCTCCATGTTTTGTGTTCAAGACCAGGTACATAAGACCAAACTTCTTTCAAGCGAGGATTGATGCCAACCTCTATTCCCTTCATGCTCCATATCCTACCTCCATTCCTAAAACATTCTTAGCAAAAGTCTTTGCACCGGTTTGACACTCTAGAATGGGCCACCCTCACTATTGAGCAATCAATTTTCTTTTATAAAAGGACTTTTTATCAAGACCTTTAAATTTATCGAGTCAATGCTTATCGTGTCCATTAGGAAAATCTAGTTGTTTATCTTTGCCTCTATCAAACAACCTAAGCATGAGTGTTTTGAATTTAATTTTCGGTGATGTTTGGAGTCCCTCTCATACTACTTCGTTGATGGTTTTAAATACTATGTTATCTTTATTGATCACTTGTCTAAGTATATATGGTTTTAACCTTTATACAAAAAATCGGATGTTTAAAATGTTTTTATTCAATACCAAAATCTGGTTAAACGTCGGTTTAATTGCAAAATCAAACAAGTCCAAGCTGATTGGGGTGGGAAATTTCGAGGACAAATAAATTCTTTCGGAATATAGGAATTGCCTACCGCATCATGTGCCCTCACACACATGAGCAAAATGATACCTAGAGAGATGATATTGTCATATTTTGGAGATCGACCTCACCCTCTTAGCGAGCCCCATGTTCTCAAACAATACTTGGACATACGCCTTCGACACTACTCGTTTTCCTAATTAATAGAATGCCCTCTTCTATCATCAAATATACATCACCTTTTGAACTTATTTTTAAGAAAAGCCTAGATTACTCTTTTGTAAAAAATTTTGATTGTCTTTATTTTTTATATTTAAGACCTTATAACAAATATAAAATTGACTTTAAATTTGCACCTTGTATTTTCTTGGGATATAGCCCATCACATCTAGGCTATCATTATTTTGACAAAGCTAAAAATCATTTTTACATTGCTCGTCCATGTCCGGTTTGTTGAGTTAATATTTCCATTTACATAGATTTATTCGTCCGTCACAAACACAAGTCCATCTAGTGTTTCACTCTCGTGGATCATTGTTCTACTCTAGCCATCTCCATCACTCTAACCCAATCGGCATCGGTCCATCGTCCTAGCAGAGTCAACCACTTCAAAACCTATGTATACAAACCCCTATGATAGACTCCTAAACACCAAACACCCACACGGACATGATTACTACACTACCAATCCGTGACAACCCAAATATAGTTCCAAGCCGTACCTCCACCTCCCATTATCCCCAACTCCAATAGCCCAAGTC